AAATTACACACTTTTTACTAATCATGTCCATGAGCTAGGGAGTTAAATAAAATAAATAAATAAATAAATAAATAAAAAAAGAAAGAAAAATCATGAATGAATGAATGAATAAATAAATAAATAAACATATAAATATTAAATAAATAAATAAATAAATAAATAAATATATTATAAAATGATTAAATAAATAAATAAACACATTATTAATAATAAAATACACTTTTTTACCCACTTTTTGTTCATGAGATAGGGAATTTAAAAAATTGGGGAAAAAAATAAAAACATTTAAATAAAAACCTAAAGAAATGACACAATTTCAACCAAAGGTGAATGACTTTATGTGACTTAAACGTGAAAGTGTAGATGTGGTGATCAAAGGTTTGCGTGCAAGTGTTTTAGCCTCATGATAACAGTGTTTACGTCACGTTCACACACACGTCAGGTATGTTTTTGTGTGTGTGTGTTTGAGTGTGTGTTTCTGAATGGCTGACATTTTGAGCTTGTTACGGTTGAGTTGGACATGTGAAGAGCCACCAGCCGCGTGTGTGTGTGGGAGGGGAATCCCTCTGATTGTTCATTCTCACGTAAATGTGTGTTTTCTGCAGTCGTGGACACCGCTGAGGTGTTGAGAAGCACACGCCATGCATATTTATGAACCCTGCGCATTATTAATGACAAACTGCAGCATCACAGAGAGCACAGTCATGCTGAGGCATGTCAGAACACCTTGTGCCACCAATTCACCTCATGAAAAACATCTAGAGGAGATCACAGCATCGCATAGTAAGCTATCAAACTGTCTACCGATTCATACTGGAGAGTCTCTATATTAATATCAATCTTGCAAGTCAAATTGTGCTTACATTTCAAGAAATGCACTTATTCAGTGTTTTGGGACAGAAAATTGACATACATGTACTGTATAAGCAAGAAGCTATTAAAGAATTTACTCCAATCAGTCAGCTGGAAAGTGTATTTACAGTATATGTCAATCTGCTATCAATTAGCCTGTAACTCTATTGTATTGAGCACACACAAAGCATCCTTGACTGGCCAGCCCAAAACTAACTCAATGGCCAGTCAAAACCAGCCCAAAACTAGCTCAATGGCCAGTCAATACTAGCCCAGTGGCCAGTCAAAACTAGCCCAAAACTACCTCAATGGCCAGTCAAATTTAGCCTAATGACTAATCAAAACTAGCCCAATAGCCAGTCAAAACCAGCTCAAAACAAGCCTGTTGACCGGTTAAAATCAAGCCCAATGGCCAGTCAAAACTAGCTCAAAACTAGCCCAAAGACCAATCTAAACTATCCTAAAACTAGCCCAATGACCAATCACAAATAGCCCAAAACCAGCTCCTAACGGCCAGTCAAAACCAGCCCAATAATCAATCACAACTAGTCCAAAACTAGCCTATTGGCCAGTCAAAATTTAGCCAAATGACTTATCAAAATAGCCCAATGGTGAGTCAAAACTAGCCCAATGACCAATCAAAACTAGAGCATGGGCCATTCAAAACTAGGCCAAAACTAGCCCAATGACCAATCACAAATAGCCTAAAACCAGCTCTTAACGGCCAGTCAAAACCAGCCCAATGGTCAATCACAACAACAGTAGTCCAAAAATAGCCCAATGACCAGTCAAAACCAGCTCAAAACTGGCACAATAACCAACCAAAATTACCCCAAGACCCCACAACCAATTAAACCTAGTCAAATCTCCCCCCACACACAAGCATCCTGCACACTCATTTATATTCACCATAACGACAGAAGCCACACACACTCTTCTTATCTGTGTGATCTGTGATCTCTTCAGGATGACTTAGGAGAGCAGGAATGCTGGAATTAGGCTCACATGGCATTTATTAGGTTTATTGGTACACAAGCATTGCACACTGCACACTATACCCGTGCGGACCCTGAGTGGTGTTTTCAATCCTGGCCAGGGTTGCCATGTTTTTTGCAACAAAATTAGCACAATGGCAAGTCAATGTTAGCCAAAAAGCTAGCCCAGTCAAAACTAAGCCAATAACGAGCCCAATGGTTAGTCAAAACTAGTGCAATGACCAGTCAAAACTAGCCCAATGAACATAAAAAATGTAGCCCAATAACTAATCAAAACTAGCCCTATGGCCATTCAAATGCAGCCCAAAACTAGCCCAATGGCCAGTCAAAACTAGCCCAAATCTAGCCCAATGGTCAGTCAAAACTAGCCCCATGGCCATTCAAAATCTAGCCCAATGACCAATCAAAACTAGCCCAATGGCCAGTCAAAACCTGCTCAAAATGAGCCCAATGGCCACTCAAAATTTAGCCCAACGACTAATTAAAACTATTCCAATGGCCAGTCAAAACCAGCCCAAAAGTAGCAAAATGGCCAATCAAAATCTAGCCCAATGACCAGTCAAAACTAGCCCAATGGCCAGTCAAAACCAGATCAAAAGTAGCAAAATGGCCAATCAAAATCTAGCCCAATGACCAGTCAAAACTAGCCCAATGACTAATCAGAACTAGCCTGATGGCCAGTCAAAACCAGCCCAAAACTAGCTCAATGGCCAGTCAAAACCAGCCTAAAACTAGCTCAATGGCCAGTCAAAACCAGCCCAGTGGCCAGTCAAAACTAGCCCAAAGGCTAGTCAAAACCAGCCCAAAACTAACTCAATGGCCAGTCAAAACCAGCCCAAAACTAACTCAATGGCCAGTCAAAACCAGCCCAAAACTAGCTCAATGGCCAGTCAATACTAGCCCAGTGGCCAGTCAAAACTAGCCCAAAGGCTAGTCAAAACCATCCCAAAACTAGCTCAATGGCCAGTCAAATTTAGCCTAATGACTAATCAAAACTAGCCCAATAGCCAGTCAAAACCAGCTCAAAACAAGCCCAATGGCCAGTCAAAAATAGCCATATGGCCGGTCAAAACTAGCACAAAACTAGCCCAAAGAACAATCTAAACTATCCTAAAACTAGCCCAATGACCAATCAAAACTAGAGCATGGGCCATTCAAAACTAGGCCAAAACTAGCCCAATGGCCAGTAAAAACTAGTCCAAAACTATCTCAATAACCAACCAAAATTACCCCAAGACCCCACAACCAATTAAACCTATTCAAATCTTCCCCAATGGCTAGTAAAACTAGCCCAAATCGCCAGTCAAAATTAGCCCAATATTCAATCAAAACTAGTCCAATGACCAAATAAAACCATTTGTAGTTTATTTGTTTGCTCAGAAAAAAGAATACATCTGTGATCTAACAGCGTCTCAGTCCACTCTTCCACATCACCTGATTAGCAATTCCCTTTATAGAGCAATAAATCAACATAAGATCACATAAAACGACCCTCATTGAATGGAAACGACCCACTCACTCTGACATCAACACTCGTCACGTCACATCTGAATCAAATAAACCTCGAACGTAAAATGTTGAGTGAGTGTGCAGCTTTTAGCAAGCAAAACCGTGCATTTCCATCACATTCATAGCGTTTATCAGTGCAAAAATAATAAGAAAGTGGAACGTTTTCATATAATCTCCTTGTTAGTAAAATGCACTATATGGATTGCTGAAATATGAAGACTATAATCCCTGCTATAAATGCTGACGACAGTAGAAGTGAATAAAACCTGATGTGGCGTTGAAATATAGTGAAGGCATGCTGAGGAAAGTAACCATTTAAATGCCTTTGTATTGAAGACTCTGAATAAACACTACTCATGCAAGTCTAGACACACTTGGCTGAAATGTCTCCCGTGATCTAAAGGCTTATATTTAAATGCTCGCAATTAATGTTGCACAACTTCTGAAAAGAAAAGCCGAGCATTCCTGACATTCATTCAAACCTCTTTTATTTTTAAGAGACTGGAATGCTCTGGTTGAGGGTTGGTTATACTATCATGCACGACTATGGAGACAGACCAAAAGCCAATTCCTGTTAAACACTCCTGAGCAAGATAATCGTAAAGAAATCCAATTATATAATGCAGAAGATCATGAATGCATAATGGTTTAGGTGATCGTGTCAGTCATACACTGCCAAAAAAAAAATTCTGCTGTTTGCTTTTGCTATGGCCACCATCAGCCGTTCCTCACACATGTGGTACAGTCAATTTTTAAAATAGTTCAACTTTTGCTAATGTGGATTAATACTGAATGTGTGTCGTTATTACTTGGGGTTAGGTGTTTAAGAGTAGAGCAATGTGCTGGTGTTTAACTGCATTGATTTATTGCGTTCCTGCACTGAGCTCTCACATACTCTCTGGCTGCTATTTCATAGCCGTGGTGGGCTTTTCTCTCTGTCTCGTGCTGAACGCAGTCGACCAATCGCAACAGAATGGATCGTCAGACCAATCACCGCAGATTAGCTTCACGTTAAGGAGGGGTTTGGGAACAGATGAATCGCTGAACGAGTCATATGGAAGATAATTAGGTAAAAATAAACGCATATTATAAGACAATAGACCTTGCACACATATCAGCCTGTTGTTGGAGACCCCCAAAACCAAAATATGACCTTTTTAAATGCAAAATAGGGGCTCTTTAAAAAAGCAGCATAAACAAGCGAAACAATCTTATGTCAAAACACTAAACAATATTATTTTTCCTCCCCCATTGTAGCTTATTTTAAGGAAAAACTCACTTCATTTTACCTCATTATTTTTAAAAACAAGACTAAAAAAATATTTTTTATTTGTCTTGAAAATGCTTCTTGAGATTGGAGATATTTGGAGATATTTGGACTAGAAACAAGACAAAAACTCTAAATAAGCAAAGATTTTGCAGAGTGTGAGATATCACTAAAGCACGATGTCTATGTTCGCCCCCCTGCTGTGTATGTGTGTGTAGTGTGTGTGTGTTTACTGTATTTTCTGTTAGTGTCTGCTTCTGCTTAAGTAATGGTTTACTAATGACTTACCGTAGGTTGTAACCCTCTTTACCTTCCCATCAGACAACAGGCTCTGCTGGCAGCTATCAATAAAAAAAATGTGTGCATTCATTTACTAGAACTTTCTCCCATCAGAAACATGTCGAGCCCTGAGGACGTGATGACCTTGAGGAGGGAGAAGGAGAGGTTCATCAATCACCAAAAACAGGCCAGTTCATTTTCGATCATTGTGGTTTTATGTGTCCAGCAAATATTATCGATGTTGTTTCAACTCATATCATATGTCATATATTTACAATTTAAAACATAAATTCTGTGGTGTTTTTGTCCCACACTATGGTAAATTACTTCAGTGAATCTGTTGTGGGGATTCTACAGTTGCTATGGTAACACAAAACTATACTAATTAATCTGTTGGGGTGATTCTACAGTTGCTATAGTTACACAACGAATATAGTAATTGATCTGTTGAGGCGACTCTACAGTTGCTGTGGAAACACAAAAACCAAAGTATTTGATATGTTGTGGTGATTTTACAGTTGCCATGTTAACACAACAACAATACTAACTGATCTGTTGTGGGGATTCTACTGTTGCTATGGTAACACAACAACTATAGCAACTGATCTGTTGTGGTGACTCCACAGTTGCTATGGTAACACAACGACCAAAGTATTTGATCTGTTGTGGTAATTTTACAGTTGCTATGGTAACACAACAACTATAGTGATTGATCTGTTGTGGTGATTCTACTTTTGTTATGGTAACACAACAACTATAGTAACTGATCTGTTGGGATAATTCTACAGTTGCTATGGTAACACATCAGCTTTACTAATTGATCTGTTGTGGCGATTCTGCAGTTGTTATGGTAACACAACAACTATAGTAACTGATCTGTTTTGATAATTCTACAGTTGCTATGGTAACACAGCAACTATACTAATTGATCTGCTGTGGTGATTCTACAGTTGCTATGGTAGCACAACAACTATACTAATTGATCTGTTGTGGTAATTCTGTAGTTGCTATGGTAACACAACAACTATAGTAATTGATCTGTTGTGGTGAATCTGTAGTTGCTATGGTAACACAACAACTATAGTAATTGATCTGTTATGGTGATTCTGTAGTTGCTATGGTAACACAACAACTATACTAATTCATCAGTTGTGGTGATTCTACAGTTGCTATGGTAACACAACAACTATAGTAACTGATCTGTTGTGATAATTCTACAGTTGCTATGGTAACACAACAACTATCATTAACAAAGAATTGTAGCTACTATAAAATATACAGTATGACACACTTTCCTATATTTACCATGAACTACTATAGTATTTGTATTTGTGGGCTGTCACTATCACAGCTGAATAGGCCAGGATCTTGCATTGTGAGGTGTGTGAGAGCGTTTTCCATCTGGAGTTCAGTGATTTACATTCCAGTCGTTATCAAATTGTCTCGTTGTCTATAATCACAGAGTTTTAATAAAGCTGTAGTAAACACTGCCCGTAACCAACATTACCGGTAACTGTTGTATTGTAGTGAGCTGGACTGTTGGTGAGTCAGTGTCTGAGAGAGATTTGGGGGAATGTTGTCTCTAGGCCAAACAGGTGACTTGTAAACATTCGGGAATTTCAGGGAAGTGGCCATTATCTGTTTAATGCTCCCCGTGAGTCAATTATTCCACATGAGAAAATCCACAAAATGTTGGACTTCATTCACTGTCTGCTCTAGCTAACTAGCATTTAGAACAAACAGGAAGTGTGAACGGTTTAAATGTGATGCGTTATTATTAGAATTGTTTGTTTTAATTCTTCAATGAGATGGAAATTACCCAGCATTGTTTTTAATGTTGTCTAATAGACATCCAGTCATAGACGCCTTGGCTAAAACAAGACTAAATGTGGGCTTTTAGTGTGTTGTAGTCCCAAAATATAGTATATTAATATATATATTTACAATCACACTCGCCTACTAGAGCCCATCTCTCATTAGCCTCTCCAGCAGCCCTGAGTGAGAAGCAGCCGTCTGTCCATTCGCCATTAGAGTGTTTGAGCTGCTGAAGATGATGTCAGCATAGACTAAGAGGATTATAGATGTGGAGTTCTAGATGTAGCATTGTCATCTACCAAGCCGAATGCTCCAGCGCTCGGGGTTTTAATGTGATGCGTGTTTGCTGTCGTTCAGGTGCACAGCAGGATGAAGCCGATGGCCGAGCATTATGAAGACGAGCACATTCATGCACAGTATTCACATCATCCTCAACACATGCAGGAGCGCGAGCCGATCTCTCCACCACCAGAACAGGTCACACACTTCATTTAATGACAGCTTTTATTTATTTGGACTAGAATTAAGGCAACAACTCTAGCAGGAAATGGGTGCGTGTGTGTGTTTGTGTAGTCAGATGTTTGTGTTTATTGTAGGATGAAGAGGATGGTATATGGGCTTGACGAACCTGAAACTGCTCCAAAAGGTGAGTGATAGTTCTGCGCTAGAACTCTTTTCTGGATAGTGTTTTTTGATCATTAATCATTTTAATAATACATGTGTTGTATGAGAACGGAGTTCAATTTAATTTGTTTTAAATGTTTAATGTAAAAAAATAATATAAATCTGCTGGCATTTTGGCCTTGGATGAACAAATATTGCATTTCAGCAGGAGAATCCTGGTCAAATAAACAAATTATTTACTCATGATAACATAAAGTAAACACAAATTTAAATACAGTTGAAAGTTTACTCTGTAAAAAGGCACTTAACCATATAAAAAAGGCATATGTTAATGTGACTAAACTGTTTCTCTTTTACTGTAGGTGAGTGAGGATGGTCACATGTGTTTCTGTTCTGTTAATAGCAGAATAATGAGAGAGAGATTGTTTGAGAAATTGTTATAACTCTTCTTGGAAGTCAAGTTTACACACAATAAGATTATTCTGCCTCTGCTAAAGCTCAGATGATGATGTCAAGGTTTTGGACGTTTCTAATTGGCTAATTGACAACATTTGAGTTAATGTGAGCACAACTGTAGAATAGTATTGAAGGAAAAGCTCAAACACACTGCTTCCTTGTGTGACAACATGAGAAAATCAACAACAAGCCAGAATCAACAACAAAGCCAGATTACAGTTTGCTGAATCACACTGGGAAACAGACTGATGTTTGGAGACATGTGCTGTGCTCTGATGGAGCTAAGATTGAACTGTTTGGCCATAATGAGCAGTGTTGCATTTGGAGGACAAAGGGGAAAGCGCACAAGCCAAGAACACCATCCCAACTGTGCAGTATGGGGGCGGCAGCATCATGTTGTGGGGCTGTTTTGCTGCAGGAGGGACTGGTCCACTTCACAGCATAGATGGCATCATGAAGACAGAACATGATGGAGAAATACTGAAGCAACATCTCAACACATCAGCCAGGACATTACAACTTGGCCACAAATGCGTCTTTCAAACAGACTATGACCCTAAGTATACTGCCAAATCAGTTCACATGTGCTTTAAGGACAACAGAGTGAATGTTTTGGAGTGGCCATCACAAAGTCCTGATCTCAATCCTATAGAGAATGTGTGGGCAGAGTTGAAAAAGCTTGTGCGAGCAAGACAGCCAACAAATCTGACTCAGTTACAGCAATCCTGCAGGAGGAATGAGCCAAAACTCCTGCAAACTATTGTGAGAAGCTTGTGGAAGGAGACACAAAACATTTGACCGAAGTTACACGGTTTAAAAGCAAAGCTAAAACATACCAAGGAAATGTGTGCAAACTTTTGACTGTCTAGAAATTAATAAAACAAAATTCTCTCATTATTCTGACATTTAGTAAATGTTTATTTAGGAAATCCTAACAGACCGAAAATAGTAAACCTTTAGTATGATTTATCATCATGAGACACTTTTAAAAATGGTTATGTCCCTTTTTTTTAGAGTGTGCGTAAACTTCTGGTTTCAACTCTATATAGACTTTTTATAGACTGAAAAAATTAAATGATTGTCTATTTTTATGAAAAAAGGATCAGAAAAGTCATCGGACATCAATGGATTCTGAGTTATCTTAGTCATGATTATAAAGAGTTTTTGAATGTTTTTCCACCTTCAAGTAAAACGTTACCCAACACACCAAACTTTTTTTTATATTCCCAGTATCTGGAGCAACCCAGATGGAGGACTGGAGAAGCTCTTTGAGTGCTTTAGTTCTGTGCATTAAAAACTCTGGCTCATCTGATTACACGGTGGCGGATTGGGGAAGGAGAAACCTGCCATCTTCTGTGCCATCCACATCTACATTTGTGCATTCAGCAGAAAACCTTTACAAAGAAGAAACTAAAACAATTCAGAAAGTCTGGTCCTCTCCAGGAGTATTTGGATTCTGCTTATATATTGTTCGTTCCTTGAAGGGCTCTGTTAAACAGGCCAACAAGAGACCAATAACAGATATTATCCCTCTTCATTTCACAAACGGCTCTCTTAAACATCTACAACTAGTGAAACTGATTAGGTAAAAACTATGAAACCTGTTCATTGATTCACCACTGGGGGGCAATCTAGTTTAACCTGCACATCCATGTACAACAGGGGTGCCCAAACTCGGTCCTGGAGGGCCGGTGTCCTGCATATTTTACTTCCAACTCCAATTAAACCAGCTAATCAAGCTCTTTCTTATACTAGAAACATCCAGGGAGGATGTATAAACTATGCAGAATGCCAGCCCTCCAAGACCGAGTTTAGACACCCCTGTACAACAATACCCTGCTGAAAGATCCAGCTTAAACCAGCCTAGGCTGGTTTAAGCTGTTTTTTTCAGCAGGGTAGTGGTAGGGTTAACATTAATAAAATACAATTTAATGGGGTAATTTATGAAATAATATGAATTATTCTTGGTATAATTACTGTTTTTACATTACAAGTGGAGGTAGACGGTAATACAATACAATTAATTGATAATTTAATGAATTATATTTAACTTCTGGGGCAGCATGGTGGCTTAGTGGGTAGCCCTGTCACCACACAGCAAGAAGGTCGCTGGTTAGAGTCCCAGCTGGTGCTTCTGTGTGGAGTTTGCATGTTCTCCCCGTGTTGGCGTGTGTTTCCTTCGGGTGCTCCGGTTTCCCTCACAATCAAAACACATGCGCTATAGGGGAACTGATCAACTAAACTGGCTGTAGTGTATGTGTGTGTGTGAATGCAAGAGTGTTTGGGTGTTTTTCAGTAATAGGTTAATGCTGGAAGGGCATCCGCTGCATAGAAATATACTAGATAAGTTGGTGGTTCATTCTGCTGTGGTGACCCCTGATGAGTAAAAGGACTAAGCCATAGTTAAATGAATGGATGAATAAATTAAACTTCTAGCATCCCATCTAGCAGCAACCCCAGCTAAATTAATATGGATTTTAATAACATTACACAGATCGCCCCCTAGTGGAGAAACATTTTCAAAACATTTCAAACCATTAACGATGCAGTGAAGACTCTTTTATTGAAATCACATGACCATAGAAAAACAAGCAAAGCCTTTTTCGAAGCTTCTTTCTGTTTGGAAAGCAGAATTGTCCCCAACACTGCTCATCAATCATACTGAATTGTTTACTGAAAGCGTTGATACAGAATGTTCTCTGTGATAAGTTGCGTAAAGGGTTGAGAAAGAACGTACAATGTCTATGTCATTATCTCTACGCCGTCCTCAAATGTACCTGCCGTTTAACCCAGAAGCCAAGTGTGTTTAATAGTTAGGCTTTCTATGTCGCTGTATATGAAAGCATCAGTATGCCCTGAGTTAGATAGACACCTTTGCTTGGCTCTGTCTGGACACGCTGTTTATCTTTCACTTCAGTCTATAATCATCTCAACTCGAATCTGTCTATACGATGACTCCCGCTCTTCTGCCCCGGGTCATCTCTCTTTGACATGTTTTCTTTGTCTCCGCTGGAGGTTTATGGGAATATAAAGTTCTTTGAAATGCCTTCTTGTTTTCTGTCTCCTAATTAAAGCTGTTGTTTATAAAACGGGTCGGTAATTGATGCTGGATCGACTGGCGCGGTGCTCTTGCGAAATAATAAATACATTTCAACACCTTTTTTTTCCCTCCCGACTGTGTTTGATGTTTAAACTGACATGTTTAGATTTTTACGAGTGAAATATTATTCATTGTTGAATAAAACACCAAAAACATTGCTGTAAGAACTCGTCAATGGCGGAGATGTATTGGGAATGACAGACACGAGTCCTGCACAGTGTCCAGAGGGAGTCTGAGTCGTTCTTCAGAATAGTGTTCGGATCACTACTGATGCTGCTGGAGGAAAACCTTTACCTTCGCTCCTCCAAAACACCCCAAAGTGCTCAATAAGGTTTAGGTTTATGTACTGTGCAGGCCATGGGAGATGTTCAACTTCACTTTCATGTTCATCAAACCACTCTGTCTCCATTCCTGCTGTGTGTATTGCTGCATTATCATCCTGATACACATCACCACCTTCAGGATACAACGTTTAACCCATTGGGTCACATGGTCTTCCAGAATGGGTTGGTAGTCCTTAGCAGCGCCTATCTAACACCAGTATTGGGCCTAGGGAATGCCATGATATGAGCTCAATCCATCACTGATCCCCCCTATGCTTCACTTTGGGCATCAGCAGTCTGGGTGGGCTGCCTCTTTGGGGCTTCTCCACACCTTAACTCTCCGGGATGTGGGAAAGACAGTGAAGTGGGACTCATCAGTGAACAATACATGCTCCACATTATCCACAGATCTTTGCTGCTGGCACCATTGAAACCAACATTAGGCATTGGCACGAGTGACCAAAGCTTTGGCTATTGTAGCCGCCATGTATATTGACCCTGTGGAGCTGTGGATTGAGTTTGGCAGCTGTGGTTTTAGTCATCATCAGATGGTTTCAACCTGTTGAAGATTGCGTCATGTCCAGGGCCGGACCTAGGCGGCCGCCTATGGCGTCAGAATAGAGAGGGCGGCGTCCCCGACACTACCCTCACCTCTTGCGCCCTCAGTTATATCCGTGTCTAGGGCGGCATCCGCGACACCACCCTCACCACCCGCTCCCTTCCGCTCCTAGGGTGGCATGATAGAGAGGGCGGCGTCCGCGACACCCTTACCACCCGCGCCCTCAGTTATGTCCGCTTCTAGGGCTGCGTTCGCGACACTACCGTCACCACCGTTATATCCGCGTCTAGTGCGGCAGAATAAAGAGGGCAGAGTCCACGACAGCTCCCTTAACATCAACTCCCACCAACCACCCCGACCCCAACCCCCACCCCCATCCCGCCCCCACCGCTTTCAGTTTAGGATTGGGTTCGGCTTGACCGTCCAATGCCTAGAGTGGCAGTTCAACTTGCTCCGGCCCTGGTCATGTCAGACGAGCAGATGCATATGGATGTAAGTAAATGGATGTGAGCGTTTCCACTGATGGTGATTCTCAGTTCGCGAATGAGTCTGTATTATTCAGCGGTTGTCATCTGGGAATAACATACCTGTCGCAACTGACCAATCAGAATCGAGTATATCAGACAGCTATAAACCTGCTGGATGTGCATTATTCTGATTCTGACATGACTATATGCCACAAAACTAAAATATAATAGACAAAACATTGATCTGACCTGGAATAGTCTTTAATTAAATTAAAAACATCAATGTAAAGCACACATGTAAGACGCCACTGTCACATAAACATGTAAGATGCATTAATATTGACTCCTCCAGTTGTTTAGTTAAGTGCTATATCGTGTTGGGTTGTGCTGTTCTCAGTGTTAATGCTGCCGTTTGGTGTTTCCAGCACTCATGGGAATGTTATAATGTGTGTTATTTTGCAGGATTAAGGAAACCTTGATCATTCCCAGAAGCTTTTCTGGCCCTCCAGATACCCTGTAACGCAAATTTAAAATACCTAAAAGTGTGCCCAGACGGGTCAATGCTTTTATGAGGCGCAGGATAAAACCCTCAATTGTAAGATGACATTCAGATGACATTCAGGATTAGTGTCCGTGTTCTGCTCTTATCATCTTACTGGAAAAACGGCCAAATACAGATTTAGCTCAGCATCTCTCAAGACACATCTCGGTTGCTGTGACTTTCTCTTATTAAACACCGGCGGGATCTGAGCAGGGAATAATAAACACTGGGACAAGTCTCATTTATTAACTGGAACCAAGTATGCTCTGTCAAAGAACAACAACAACAAAGATAATCTTGCTTACCCCATTGGCTTGACTGTTTGGCTTGTTTCAGATTTATGAAAACTGAACAATATTTTTTGGTTTTGCTATAGAGAACGGAACAATATTTAAGATTTTCCCACCAGAATATGACAAATATTAAATACACTGCCTGACCGGAGTCTTGTGGGGATCTCAGTTGTAAGAGCAGCAAATAATAACTTCTTGTTGATCGTGTGTAAAAGTGTCAGAAGGTGGATTTCTCTGCTGAATCATCTGTTGATCTGCATCTTAATCATCACTAATCCTGCAGAAAGCCTACTTGAACCACCATAGACCAAGATTCTCAAAGAAATCAGTTAAGTTTGCCCGGGAGCCCGGGGCTCCCTCCCGTTTGCAGGGCGAGAGAGGAGTTTGATCTCAACAAGATCTACTGCTGCTTAGGGATTGCTATGAGAGTGAGCTGCTGGTGGACTTGACTATGGTGCTGATTTGGTTTAGTCAATTTACTTATGTCTCATGTTTTGGACTGTGGGAGGATACTGGAAGACCCGGAGAAAACCCACGCGAGCACGGGGAGAGCATGAGCTCAGAAATGCCAACTGGCTGGGTAGAGACTCAAACTGGAGGCATTCTTGCTGTGAGGCCACAGTGCTAACTGCTGGGCCGCTGTGCTACCCTATAGAGGAGTAAAGGAGGAGAGGAGGTGGAAGGGGGATTCTTCAAGAAGAAGAGGGCTAAGGTAAGATGCTTTGGTTATTTATACTAAGTTAGGAATCGTGTGATTGGTGTCGTACATTAGCTTAACTCGGGGCCAGCCGTGTCAATCATAAGCATGTGATCCTCTCGAAATTAGTTTATAAATAAAGTTCACTTTGTCAAACTGTAGAGTTGAATTTTTAACATCAAAGGTGAACAGAGCAGAGATCAACATCCCATAATGCAATTCCCCACCGCAATTAAACACAAAACACGGAAACTGTTCATCAACAGCTGTTTTTACAACACTGTGAACTCTTTTTAAGGTTAAATAAATAAATAAATACAAAATTGTGATTCTCAAAGTGTTCCGAATCATCCGACTCTACTGTAGAGTAATAAAGTGTTTAAAGCTGGTCTGGAATTTGTCCTTTCTCTTTAATTCAAACAAGATGTCTAGAAAAAAGCATTGCGAAAGCTGTAACTTCTTTACCTGATCTCTTAAACGTGCAACAAACCCAAACACTGCTATAATGGCATGCGGTCGCCTGTTGTGGGAACCATGTGCTGCTTCACTTCACCATTTCTTTTATTCCCTTAAAATAAAAGTCAGTACAGGTTTGTCTATCTGCAGACAAGACAATCATTTTGTCTGGAAAACTGAAAATAAAGCACAATTAAGGGATTTATTTACAGCAAAGACCAAACAGGAAAAACCCCAAAGGGCAAAGAGCACAATAGGAGTGTTTTACCCTCAGCTACAGCTGCATTTAGCATATTACAGTCGGGGAGGAGCTGGAAAAACAGGGACGTAAAGTTCAGCTTCCTGTTGTGAAACCTGTACAATGTTTACTTTATCAGATATTACCCATATAAACAGCCCTTTAAAATAAAT